AAAAAAAATGACTTTGGGTTGGACGGGGGTCATAAAAAACAGAAAGATTTTCTTTGAAGTTTTTTGTACCCAGAACATTTATGTTTGCTTTTCTTATTCTTTATAATCACTCAGTTAAAATATAAACTAATCAATTAACTGATTAAATGAGGCCTTGTTCTAGGTAACATGGAAGATGCTAAGTTCACCTAGTTCATTTTAATTTACCAAGATACCAGAAAATTCCAACAAAGGAAATGAGAAAATAAATCAATCCCTGTTGCAATAAATGCTTTCCCAGTGAATCCTGGGATTCTGTGTCAGGAAAGCATTACTCAATATAAAAAGGCTTTAAAATCCTATAAAACATGGAACTTTAAACTTACCTGACTTTCTGAATGATGAGAAGTCAAAGATCCTTGATTATATAAATAAACCATGAAGTTTTCTGCTAAAAATAATCTGAATATTAAAAAAGTGAGAATATTTTTAATATATATTTTTTAAAAGTATATTTTAAAAGGTAAAGATGTAAAGTATCAGTTAGTAAAGTAACAACTTTGGGACAAATCTGATCTATACTTAGATTTGTAAGTCTTTTTACAAAGCCATGCCCATTCATTTACATATGAATGTAATGAAAATATGGCTGTTTTCAGACTACAGTGACAAGTTGAGTTATTTCGACAAAGATTATATGGTCCCAAAAATCTTAAAATATTTACTATAATATGGGCCTGCAGAGAAGTTTTCCAACCCGGCAAAGGTGGCTTGTGTTTGTGTGTATATATGTTTACACAGGTATACATATATGTGTGTGACATATATGTGTACATGTGCATTTTTTATTCAAGGAAATACACATTTACTCATTGTGTATTGTTTTAATTCTTTCTAAATTTTACTATGAATTTCTTTATAATGACGTAGAATAATATAGTATAAAAGTCTTTGACCTGATTATAATACTAAATCTACATATTTAAGTCCAATCTTTGATATTATTCTCTGTACTTAGTATGCAAGTTTTACTTTGCTTCCATACTTTATTGCTCACTTTTAATTCCAACATAGTATTAACTTGTCCACCTGGACTATCTATGGTTAGAAATTCTCCACTAACACTGCCACTATATGGTTTACTTATGCCTCCTCCCCAGTTATCAAATACAAAAGGCACTTTGAAGTCAAGTAAAACTACTCTGATTTACTTCATATGGTTGACCACAATCCGTCCCTCTTCCTACATGGCTCTATTCTTGAACTTCCCCATGGTTTCCTTCATATCTGTCTGTCTACATTTATAACTCCTTTCATCTAGATTCTTGTTTTTTCTTAAATGTTTCTAGAGTATTCAGTTCTCGGTTGCTTTTCCTTCTCACCTTTAATATTTATCCCCCACCTCCATAGAATATCTTATTCATGTTTGCTGCTTCATTTGTACCTTTATAAAAAGATGTCTTTGAAATCCACACTTTCCTCCCATGTTGAAAGCTAAATCTATCAACAGGATTTTTTTTGAGGTAGCCAAGTACTACATGCATAACTTTTCAAGAAATGAGCCCATATTTCGAATTACTCAGTTATATTTATTTCCCTTCTCTTTCACTGCCCCACCAAATCCCTGCTATCACTATATTCAACCTGTTAGCTAATCTTTTTCTGCCATCTCAGGTCTCAAGAAAAAAGTATCTACATCCACACAGCCATAGTTCTCATTATTTCTCATATATGTAATTAACAATAACTTCCTGTCATTGCACTGACATAGTCACTAGTAGGTGATTTCCAAAAACAATATACACATGTTCTCACCATTTCCCAAACTCCAGCCCCTATATTTCTTAAACTCTTTAGAGTCCATATAAAATACTCAAATGCAATGTGAGTTCTCTCACTTTCTCTTTTACACATTTAAAAACTGTTTGGTATGTCATTTACCATAGTCTTCCTTGCTGCCTAAAAGAGCTCAACTATCCTTTTACTCAATTCCATATTTTGCATCTGCACATTGTATCATTGGCTTACACATCTATCTTAAAGAAAACGTCCCTTAGTTAAAAAAAAAAAAAAAAACTTTGCTTTTACTGAGATGAAAAAATGCACAAAATGATGTTAAAATAAACTATTATTTTTTTAAAAACTTTGCATTTTCTTTCTTAAAGCATTCATCTGACAATCCCTTACTTCTGTCTCTGCCAAACACTTTTGGAAAGTGTCTTACACTTACTCTGCTTACACATGATTCATCTTCGCCTAATTCCATGCAGTCTAGTTTTACATCCAAAATTTAACTGAAACTGTCCTCTTGAAAATCACAAATTACTTTCAAGTTAACCTTTCTCAACTGAGTTTCTACCAGTTAAGGAAACCATGCAGAAAATTATTTCTGTTATTTTCTCAATTGCCTGAAGGGTAGTACACAGTGCTATTTCCCATAGCTTATTCACTGGTTCCCACAACAGTGTATGACTTGCTGTGTATCTTAAGTCCCTTATTCCATCTCCCTCATGATAGCCTGTCTCCCTGATCAAACAGCAACCGTACAATCACTCACTGCCTTACTTCATATACTGATACCCTGCCCTGATTATCTGGCCCTGATTATTCTGCCAATTTAAAGTTGTAGAGGGAACTAAATCCCTATATTTTCTATTCTAAACTATCTTATTCACAAAGAATTACTTAAGATATTAGGACCAAAAATTTAATTAAATCGAGAGCATGAGATAAAACTAAAAATTTTAATAACTAATACATTTTAATATTTAATATTCCATTTTTAAAATATGTTTAAAAATTCATATAACATGAAATCCAAAACTAAAATATAAGATATTACCTTTGCTTAAGGTGCACAATATATGGTTTCTCATCTATTGGAATAATATAGGATATCTGTTCCTAGAGAATCCAGAACAACTATGAGTGAACACAAATGTAATGGAAAAAAAATAGCAATTTACATAAATTATTCCCTCCAAAAAAATGCTTAAAATGGCTTGATTAAAATGAATCCGAATGTTAGCTAAAGCCTGTAACAATATGCCAAAAAAAAAAGAACAAACAAAACCAAAAGCCAAGAGAAGAAAGGAAATATTAAAAATTAGAGCAGAAATAAATAAAATCAAAAAGAGAGTTGAAAAGATCAATGAAATCAAAAACTGGTTCTCTGAAAAAATAGACATACCTGTAGCTGGGTTCACCCCCACCCCCAAGAAAAAGAAGAAAGATCAAATATTAATAGAATCAAAAACTAAAGAAAGTTACAACAGACCCTGCAAAAATCCAGAGGATAATAAGAGATTACTATGAATATTTGTATGCAAGTAAGCTCAAAATTATATAATCACCCAAGGTTGAATAATGAAGAAGCAAAAAACCTGAACAAACCAATCACAAGCAAGGAAAATGAAACCGTAATCAAAACTCTTCTAAAAAACAAAGTCCAGGAACAGAAGTCTTCACATGAAAGTTCTACAGGACATTTAATGATGAACAAATACCTATTCTGCTCAAACTCTCCAAAAAAAAATTACGAGTAAGAATACTTCTAATCACATTTTTGAGGCCCACATGACTCTATTACCAAAACAGAAAAATAAAACTGTAACCAGTCTCGCTAGCATATACATATGCAAGAATCCTCAACAAAATCGTAGCAAACGGAACCTGACAATGCAGTAATAGGATTATACACCCACAAATGGTATTTATAGTAAGGATACAAGGTTGGTTCAACAACCAAAAATCAATCAATGTAATTTACCACCTCAACAAAAAGATAAAGATCATATGATTGAATAGATGCCAAGAACATGATAAGATTCAACATTCATTTATGATCATAACCCTCATAAGATGGAGTAATCGCAACACATCTGAACATAAGAACCATATATGTAAGTTTGTTGTCAAACCATAATAGATATATTTTATGCTCTTTTCCTTTAATTTGTATGTTATAATCAAAACACTATTCTAAAACAGCTTATTAATTGCAACAATCGCCTTAAAAATCTGTGCATTTTCATCTGTTCATTTCAATTTGAAGAGCCAATGGGAAATATAAGATGGTACAGTCAACATGGAAAACAGCTTGATCGTTTCTTAAAATGCTTGGTATGAACTTGCCATGTGACAGAAGTTTCATTCCTAGGAATCAACTCAAGGTAGAGAAGAATATATATCCACATATACATGTTCATAAAAAAAGTATTCATAAGAGACAAGATACAAAAAACAATCCAACCAACCATCAACTGGTAACTGGAAAAACAGGCAATACATTATTCACCCACATCTATTGAGAAATAAAAATTAATGAAGCACTGGTGTTACACAACAGATAAACATAAGGGAAAGAAGCCCAAAGCAGAGGTCTATAGACATTATGCTTACTTAAATGATATGTCCAGAAAAGGCAAAATTATATAAGCAGAACACAGATCAGCAGTTATCAAGGGCTGAGGTGGAAACAGGTATGAAAGAATATTTTCGGAGAATAGACATGTTCTAAAATTGAACTGCAGTGATGTTCACATCTCATTTTTGTACTAATAATCACTGAGCCATACATTTCCAGTGGGCAAACTCTGTGGTGTGTAAACTATACACACCTCAATAAAGCTTAAAAATAAAAGATTTTATTAAAAGATTGATAAGGTCATACTTGCTTTACTGTATATTTCTAACCCCTAAGATACTTAGCACATATTTATACACATAACTCCAGAGAAATATCTGCTAAGAAATTGATGAGTAAGATAAAGTATTTCTTTTACTAACAAAAATAATAGTGTTTCTCCTAACAACTGGTAGGCACAGAGATGGAAAATTAAGGAAAGAGACCTTGCAGTTAAAAGTAAGTCTCTAACCACTATGGAGAAAATTGCTCTTAATCTGAACCACCTAGATAGCTTACGCCCTAAATTATTTTTTACATTATTTTCCCTTTTGAATTTTAAAAAACCTTTTCCATGAAGAAATGATAAAAATAGGCAAAACATACCAGTAGGACATATACATTAGCTTTAAGCATGAAAAATTTCAATTCCTGTTCAGCAGTATTATTAACTAGATACATACCATAACGGAATGGAGATATTTCGTTGCTATTTAATAAAAACAAGAAATTTTATATTTTTTTGAAAAAAATTTCTTACATTTTCTATTTTTGAATTGTTACTTGTATTTGCTTGAATTTTCTCTGGAAATATGATTTGTAGAAATGAATTTTGAGAACCTGAAAAAAAAATTACAGTGTCTTAACAGACTAAAACTTTGTTTCACTTTTTTATAAGGTTCACATACACAAATGAGTCATCACTTATATTTGTAAAAACATAAAAATATTTCTAAAAAGCCGGATAAATTTAGTATTTGTTCAAACTGCATAATTTGATTTCCAACAGAAAACAGAACAGGTGCCCAAAACTCAAAAGTGTACTTCAAAAAAATGTTCCTGAAATAAAAGATTTGAAACAACACATTAATAAATCATCTTAACTTCAGGAATAACTGATAATATTAATTAAAACTAGAACATATTCTTCTAAAGGCATCAGTTAACTAAGAGAGAATCCTATGGACATAGGAGCAAAAAGAAAAACAAGAAAATCACAATCTGCATAAGGAAGAAAAGCAAGCTGACTTGAGAATATTTAATAGCAGTATTCGAAATATTTAAAAAGGTGACAAAAAGAAGTCCAAAAATAATCAAGAAAAGGAAGTATGGACCAAGAAATATTATTTGCTAAAATACCTGCCATGCAATAAACACTACAAACTCTGTTATCTTTTTCTTTACTTCACCCCAAATTTAATCAACATATTAGAAGATCTGTAAAATAAAAAAAGCCAGTGTATGTGCTGGACTCTGGAAAGGTAAGGGAAAGAAAACCTCTGTATACTGACTTTTAGAAGCCAGTTTTCACTGTTATTTTTTTTTCTGATCATGAAACTATTCACTGAAGATATTTTGTCATTTTGTTTTTGAGTTATTTGTGTTTGTTTTTGAGCTTTTATACACACACACACACACACACACACACACACACACATACATTTTCCATCCTTCACTTTGTTCACTTTTTCATCCCTGTAGACGTCCCACCACCAATACGCCCATGTGCCATAACCATAGTCCCATGTGCTCATCCGCCCCAGTTTTGCGATAGTTTATTTGTAAAGCCATAAGGTTAGGAGCTTTATTTTTTGGAAAGTTATTTTTTTATTTCTGTTTCAATTTCAATGCTTGCAATTGCAATGCTGAATTCTTCATTATTTATGGGTTAATCTTAGTAAATTATATTGACCTAGAAATACACATTTCTTTAAAATTATCAAATTTATTGTCACACAGTGGTTGATAGTAAGCTATATGTTACTTTTTACATTTCTGTGTGATCTGTACCAAGTTCTCCTCATTCATTTGAGATTGTGTTTACTAATATTCACTCTCTTTTTTGTGGTTGTTAGCATAGATAGAGATTAATCTATTTTGTTATCTTCTTTAAAAACCAGTTTAAGGCCCTGCCTGGTGATAGATCAGTTAAAGCACAGCACTATGAAGCTATCTGCAGTTGGACTTCATCCCCAGCCAGGCAGGTGACCCACATAGTGCAGCAGACCTCTCCTATCCTGCCCACTGCTCCCCTCAGCAGTGTATTTCAGCCCATCCACCTGCATGCATAAATACATAAATCTAAAAAAAAGAACCAACAGTTTCATTAATTTTTGGTGCAACCTTTTGATCTCTATTTTATTGATTTTTTGCTCTTATTTTTATTCCTTCCTTCTACTTACTTTGGATCTCATTTGTTCCTCTTAAATCCACTTTTGCTGAATCCTTCAAGTTCTGATAGACTGTTATCATTTTCATTTGTCTTAAGGTATTTGTTAAAAATCTGCTTTGATTTCCTCTTTCATCCAATTGCTACTAGATAGCATGTTATTTATTCTCCATGTAGTTATATTCTTTTACTTTTTCCCCTTATAGCTGATTTCTAATTTGATAGCATTATGGTCAGAGAAAACACTAGGTGTAATTTCAGTTTTATAGTTTTATTGACAACAGACTTATGTCCCAACATCTGGCCTACTCCTTAAATTTTTCATGTGTACTTAAAAAAAAAGTGTATGTAGCAGTTTTTTTGTAGAGTAGTTGATAAGTTTTTTAGTAGAGTAGTTAAACTTATTCGCTCTATCTCCTCATTTAAAGCTATTTATGCTTTTTCTCATTGATCTGCCCATTGATGTAAGTGGGTTAAGTTCCCTGAATCATGTGTCTTTATTAGTACTTCAAATTCTGTTTTTGTGTTATATATCTTGGTGTTCCATCATTTGGCTGCATATATATCCAATAATTATTTCTTCTTGTTGTATAAGATATTAATCATAACATAACATCCTCTATACCTTATTTATCTTATGTCCTTATCTCTTAAGTGGAAGTCTAATGTATCAAATCTAAGTATAGCTGTCTCTTACTAGGTTTTCTTTGAGGATTCTATTGAGGTTAGTATACAATTTATTATACCTATAACCTGTTGGACAGTCTCATCTGACTCATTCTGATGGGCTACATGGTTTCTCTTCCATGTTAAGTGATTTAGGTATCAATTGGCTTACTAATCACTGTTTTCTTGCTTTATAATAACCCCTTTAATTCTTTCATGTGCAGCATGGTGTTGATAAATTCTTTTACTTTTTGCTTTTTAGGCTTCCTTTCTATCTTGAATCATAATTTTTTCTGTGTAAAGAATTCTGGACAGGAAGTCTTTAAGTACTTTAAATAATTCCCTCCAGTTCCTTTGTACTTGTAATGTTTCTACCGAAAAGTCTAGTAAAAATCTGATAGGTTACTCTTTTTTCTTTTGGTGTTTTTAATGATCTATCCTTGTCATTGTTTCTTAGTATGTGTCTTGGTGTATGTGTGTCTAGTATCTGTCTGCTAGTAAGACTCTCAATTGTATTTCTAAATCAACTACAGTGTTTCAATGTTTCATTATTTCTAATTATAGGTACCTCATATTTTCCTTATCTTTATTTGTTATTTTACATCCTCTGCAACAGTTGCTGTTATTTTGAGCCCCATAATGTTACCAGAAGTGTTTCCCAGAAGTTCCCTCCTATTGTGCTCTGTAGTTCCACTGAGTTGGGGCTCCTTTCAGATAATTTGTTCTGGCATCTGTGATATGTTCTTCTCTCTTCTCATTTTCAATCTCTTTTTTTTTTTTTAAATAGGGATAGCTTTTCAGATTGTTATCTTTGAAACTACATAAAAAATCTGAGGACTAACACAGTGAGGGATAATATATGAGAGGACTGGCGGAGTAGGACACCAGAGGATTACCTACAGTAACCTCGGGAATTTTAACTCTAATGTGTTGCTGGTGCCAGTGTTATGTAGTAGGGTACTATGGTGACCCCATACTCTCAACCAGCTCACCCCGCCTCAGTATCTCTTTATTACCTTGTGTCCACTTTTATTCTAGGCTTATTTTTAAGTCCTAGAAGACAGCAGTGGATTGTAGTTGATATGGGATCAAAGGCTGGGATTTGTTCTCTTTTAGTTTTCAGGAGTCTTATCCTGAGTTACTGGCTCTGACTACTGAGTTCTAGTTTGTTCAGGCATTTCTTTGTTTTGGGTTTAGCCCTGGGGTAGGGAGTAGCAGGAGTTTTGAATACTTCAGGCTGGGCTTCAAGTAGCACTTGAAACCAAAGTGCTCTGACCCAATTCAAGATGCTGCTGTGCCCCCAGCTCTCCTGGGTACCTGCTCATTCACCCCATTTACAGTGCATCTGGGTCTCAGAAGCCCTGCCCTAGGAATGTGCCTGAGAAAATAGTCACAAGGGACAGCAATCACATTTTACACACTTGTGGGTCATTATATAGTAAATGATGATTTCTCAGGCTTTTTTTTTTTAAGATTTATTTATTTATTCATACAGAACTGGGGTACAGGCAGGAGATGCAGAGGGTGAGAGGATTCACAAGGACAGCGCGGGGAGCAGAACAGGCAGATCAACGAAGTACACTGCTGAGGGGAGCAGTGGGCGGGTCAGGAGAGGTCTGCCACGCCAGGTGATGCCATGTGGTCACCTCCGGGGCAGGCGGGGATCAACTCAAGGGGAAGTGGCTTTATCTTCTCAGTGCAGTGCTTTATCTTTCTCAGAGCAGGAAGGGCCCTGCTCAGGCTTTTAAGCTGTTAGCTTCTGTGACTATCACCTGTGCCTCCCACCCCCACTTTGTGTGTGGGGTTTTATGGGGTTTTTTTGTTTGTTTTTTTTTTGGCATCCTTTATTTGCTCTAGGAGTCACTTGAGATCACGAGCTTGGAGTGCACCTGCCTGAGGCTGATGCTGTAAGGGCAGTGTCACTCAATGACAAGGGCTGCTATGGCAGAAAGGCTACAAAAGGATGGGGTGACTAGAGAGAGAGCCCAGAAAGAAAGTATTAAGGTGTATCGGGGGCTGGGGGGCCTGCCAGCCTGCTGACCCCCAGCCTACCTGCTTTGCCAACCTGCCCCCAGCCTACCTGCTTTGCAACAAATAGCGTACAAAAAGCATTAAAGCCTGAAAAAAGCCCCCAAGGCCCTAGACTCTCCTTTACCCATCTGCCCGAATCCACAAAGAATCTGCCCAGTGCATACCTGCACAACTGTCATACCGCCCCACACAGTTTTAAAGTTTACCTCCTTTCCACAGTAACAATAACCTATATGTACTTTTTTCCCTTTGGGTGTTTTCTGGCTTCCTTTCACAACTATTCATTGGTTAGTACATGGGGAAGGCAAGCCCAGATCTTCATTCTGGCGGCCATCTTGCCAAGCTTCCTAGACCCAGAAATATTTTTTTTTAAAGATTTATTTATTTGTACATACAGAACTGGGGTACAGGCCAGAAGTGCAGGGGCGATGAGAGGATTCACCAGAGACAGAGTGGGGAGCAGAACAGGCAGATCCACAAAGTACACTGCTGAGGGGAGCAGTGGGCGGGTCAGGAGAGGTCTGCCTCGCCATGTGGTCACTTCCGGGGCAGGCGGGAATCGAACTCATGCGGAAGTGGCTTTAGATTCTCAGTACAGTGCTTTAACCCGCTGCGCCACCTGGGAGGGCCGACCCAGAAGTATTTTCAAAGATATATTTATGCATAGAAGAATTGAGTACGGGCCAGAGATGTGGATGGTGCAAGGATTCATCAGAGAAAAGAGTGGGGAGCAGAACTGGCAGATCTGCTCAAATGCACTGTTAAGGGAATTAGTGAGCAAAACAGGAGAGGTCTGCTGGGCCAGATGTGGGTTAGCTCCTTGGCTGGGGATAAAACTCAGGCCATTGTAGGGACAGCACTGATATTAAACCCCGAGGATCCAGAAATTTTATACCCAGCTTTAAAAATTATTCAAATATAAAGACACTGACAGATATTTACAAGCAAAAACTCAAGGAAAATAGTTCACCTGTGTCTGCCAAAAAAAACCCAGAATAACTTCTCCAATAAAGACAGCAATAAATTTGGAGAGGGGAAAGAAATCTAGTAAAATAGCATTAATAAATGTAAATATAAAATAAAGGCTAACCAATTATGAAAGCCAGTTATTCAAATAAGATGCAAACATAAACTGATGATCTAAATATAATACATACAACAATGTCAGGAAGTACAGAAAAAAAGGAATACTATATATACCAACTGATTGGTACACGACAATGACATTCACATTTACCACTACTATTTCAACCAAATATTGGAAGTCCCAATTAGACCAACAGGCAAGAGAATATTTAAAATGAAATCAAACTGGGAAATAAAACTACCACTATTTACAGGTTACATTATATACATAGAAAGCCCAAAAGACAACAACTGAAAAAAATATTTAAATTGTAAATATAGTAAAATGATAGGGTAAAATAGTACATTAACAAAAATCAGTTTCATTTCTATATCAAACACAAGCTAGTAGGGAGAGAACTGAAGAGAGCAATCCTATTCACAAGGGCAACAAAAGTAATTTAGTACCTAGGAGTAAATATAAGAGGGGGTGAAGTATATATATATACAACTATAGTCATTGTTTAAAGGAAACAGAAGATACCAAAAATGGGAAAATATTCCTTGTTCATTTATTGAAAGAATAATGAAAATGGCCATCCT